AGATCGATGCCCGTGTCGTTGCAAGATGCCTTCAACAACCTATGCCACAAAGAAGGAAAGTGCACCCTCAATGGTAGCCATTCCAAATTTACACGAAACCAAAAGAATAAAAAATAAAATAGCAGAACATGCAAATTGTTGCCCCACAAATAGGGTGGCCATTAAGATCACTTTTTTCCTACCATTTGCATGATGATGTAAAGAACAAGCTGTTTGATATCTAGTTGCAGTGAGACTAATTAAGAAAGCAGTCATCAAAGATCATTAGTCTAGATAGGACAAAGAACCATTTTGGTCAATCGATACAAAATTGTCACTTATCTATAAAGTAATTTCACAACACAATCTTTATCCAAAATTTGTATAATATTCTTTTATCCTCATATTAAATGGTGATTGTTTAATTAGTATCAAATAGTTTACTCCAAACTCCATATTTCATGTGTTGAGGTGTGGGATAAGATTATGGCAATGAATTTTTAGCATTTCACTGCAATAAGGGATTTTTCTTTCTTTCTTTCTTTTTTTGGTTTACTGCTTTCTCAAATAAAACGTACATGTTCGTTCACCTAATATGACTTGTAGAGGGGCGTATACATAATTGATGTATCTGTTAAGAGTGTAATCCCACTCAGCCACATTAAAGCTGACGTGGATCATGGCCTGTAGTGCCCCGTTTATTTGTGGATTATTTAGGATTTATTATTATTATTTTTTTTGCTATTATTATTATTGTTATTATTAATTGGTGATAATATTTATATTTTATTTTATTGAATGCCATTATGTTTATTTATTTGTCAAATGTGATTAAATGTTAAATGTCAAATTGTCTAATTGATTTTGTGTTTTATTAAATTATTAATATGAATAAATGTGTATGTAATAATATGTAAAATACATATAATTATTTTTCGGTTTATTTTTATCGCGCGTTTGCATTCGAAATCGAGCCCGATAATTTTCGTTGGAACCGTTTTGGCCCGTAAATATCCGTTTAAATTTTTAATCGAGCCCGTGAGCCGATTTATTGTCCCAACCGGCCCAAAAATCCTTTCGACCCAACTTCTCGGGCCCAGCCCGACAGATTTTTTTTCCTCCTTATTTATTTTCGCGTGTGCGGGTTTGTGTTTGCTTGGGTATCAAGATAATTTGATCCAAACCTAATATACCATATGTATATATATATATTTATGTGATCAAAATCCCAAGCGCAGCTTTCTCTTTTTCAAATCTAAATTTCACGATCCCGCAGCTTCCCCCTTAATCTGTTTGCACTACAAGAAAATGATGAAATTCCAACAGAATTATATTCCAATAGAATTCCAACGACAATTCCAATGTATATTTCAATGTTATTATTTCCGTTGGAATTATTCCAATGTAAATTCCAACAAAAATATTCCGTTGAAATGAGTTTTCCATTGGAATTTCTGTTGGATTTTGACGATTCCAACGGTAGATTTTCCAACGGTGATGGAAATAAAAATTCCAACAGAAATTGCATATTCCAACGGAAATTCTTACGGTCAAAAGCCGTTGGAAATATAGCCGTTGGAATCATCAAATTTCATCTAAAATTTCAATGAAAAATATATTCCAACGGAATATTTTTGTTGGAATTACCGTTGGAATCATTCCAACGGAAGCTATACCATTGGAATATCCGTTGGAATTTTCATTGGAATATATTACCATAGAATTTTCCGTTGGAATGTAACATTTTTTTCGTAGTGTTGGTTTTTCCGTCACCTCGTCTCAAATTTCCGATCGCCCTCCCCCTTGCTCTGTTCACTTCTGAACCCGTCGGAACCATCACCATCTCCTCACCTTCGCTCGATCATCATCACCATCACTTTCCCGTCGCGGCCAGCAACTCGCGCGACCAACCTCCGGCGACCTTTGTTCGAGAAATTCCGGCAAATTGGAGCAGTCCACGAGCCCCGATGATGAGACCCCCCCTCCGTCGTGATCTTTCCGGCAAACCAGCACACCGCCGCACCGTGACACCATCACAGCACCCCTGTTCGTGAGATTTTCCGGCAACTCATCACCACCGGCGAGCCCTCCTCTCTCAACTCACGATCAGCAACTCCGGCGACGACCACCGAGCGCCGCTGCACCACGGACGTCCGCGAGCAGCACCCGGCTCGACTTTCGACGAGAACCCTTCCACCTGCAACTTCCGGCGACCTGCTTCTCTACGAAGCTTTTACCGGCGAGATTCTTCCCCCGCAGCAGCACCTTTGACGGCTCGCCTCGGCCATCGCAGCAACGCCGCAACCGAGAAGGACCACCCCAGCTCTCTCCTCGGCGAGCCGCGCGAAGCCGTCGAGCCCCGTCGAGCCCGTTCGCATTCGTGACGTTTTCGAATTTCCCGAGAACGGTACCTCGTCGTTTTTCCATCTCGTTATGTTCGTTAAATTGTTCATATTCATGTTGTGCTCGTGTTATATATATAATGTGAATTTATTGTTGAATAAGTGCAAATATATTGAATTGTTGTGATTATTGTGTTCGTATGTTCGGGATCTCTTCAATTTTCTCGAAAATCGAACGAGACCTCGAAAGTCGTGTAAGTCGGTGGATAATGAACAATGTCGAGTCTTTGGTCTTATGAAAAGGCCTCGGACGATAAATTGTGTGTTGTGATTTAATTGTCAAGTTGTCGAGCTTGTTAATCGCTGTTTTGATGTTCGAATTTTTAAAAATAGCTCGCTGCTCAAAACGATGTGAAATTTTGAGGGATGTGTTATCTGTTCATTTCCTGCCTTGTGTAATATTTTCATAATTTTTGGAGACCTGTAGCTATTTTTAATAATTAAATTGTGTTCTGTCCAGAATATTGTTAAATGCATAATAAATTCATGCTTGACTGAAAGGAGCTGAAATTCGAATATGTCATGCCTCTGTGACTTATATGTGTTGTGTTAAATTTTTAGAATTTTTGGAGTTGATTTGATAAGGGTAATATTTTATTTATTGAATCTGCAGAATTGTTGTTTGAATTTTTAAAAAATCGGTTACTGCATGGAAAATTCTGAAATTTTACTGAGAGTCATATTTTAGGTGTTTGATCATGTTTGTAAAATATGGAAATTTTTAGAGTCCGTGTTGATTCAGTTTGGGATTAAATTCGATAAACTGCTGTTGCTCGTTTGAATTTTTAAAAATAGCAGCAGTTATCATTTAAGGCTGAGATTTTTACAAATGGACTTTGGTATACTGTATGTTATTGTGTAAAACTTTCAAGATCAGATTCATTCATTAAGTCTGAGTATGAATTAATGTGCCCATTTTGCTGATATGTTGTTCGAATTTTATAAAATAGGGTATCTTGAGTTTAAAGCTGAAACTTTGTGATTTTTCATGTTTCTGGAAGATGAAATTTTGTGTGAATTTTCAGAGCTTAATTTGTAGGGTAGCTTGACCTTCTATTTTCATGCGATTAAATGATTTCAATTTTCGAGCATAATTGTATATGGAAAATTTGGATCGACTTGCTTTTTGGTTTTATGTGAGTTTGACTTGGTAAAACCTTAGATGGATTTGTGTGAACTCTCTTATGTAGTTTGGTCGAGTTTAGAGCCGAGTCTTAGTGTTCCAACATCCACAGGACTTCACGAACTACTTAGTCGAAACGTGTTCGTTTGTGATTTCCGATTTAAGTCGAGATAGATTCTGATTGTAGGTTCTTGACATCATGTAGGTGTCTAGAGGTGTTGATCTTGCCTTATTTTGAGATTTGTGACTGTGAACCGTGCTGCTATCAGGTGGGTACATTTATGATGTATTCCATAATTATCGCACTTCCTTATTTCGTGTAATATTTCATTGAAAATTTTTGTATGCATGAGAACTCTAGTCTAAGTGTCCCGAACGATAGTGCCTTTGATGAAAGCGAAAGCAGTGGAAGTCGCCTGCCCGTCGTATCCGGGAGGTGGACGCCCGAATCCGTGTAGAGCGGAGGGGATTGTCTGATTTACTCGAATCCGTGTAGAGCGGAGGGGTACTTCAACTTCACTGTCTCCTGGAAAGGATCCCATGTACCGTCGTATCTGGGGGTGGGAAGGTTTCCAGTTACAGCCATGTCGTTGTATCCGGAAGGTTGTTGTATGTACATAGGAGATTTGCGATAGGGCCAAGTAGGGAGTTAGACTGTTGGATTCTATGCATACTGAACATTGTGTTACTGCTTTTAAAATAATTGTGCGGGATAACTGTGCGATAATGGTGAGCTAGTTGGTTGCTCACCCCCATCATTTTCTTGTTGTCTTTTCTCTTCCTTGTTCTAGGTTGAGACGAGCTGGAGGCGGTGGCGTAGGACAAGCGAGATGGTGGTCATATGTGTTGAAAACCTATGCTTCCGTAAACCTGATATTCATTTATTTGCCTTGGATTATTTACTGCTTTTATTTTTGCGAACTATGTTTAGATGGTTGAAATTTGAATAATGCTAGACCCTTTGAAATGGTTTTCGAAACTTATATTTTTGGGATTTGTTTTATCATTAGCTCGAGCATGTGAGTTCCCTTGTATTCTTGGGTGTGTGTTGTTGGTTGATGTTAGTAAGTAGCGCCCGTTTCTCGAAAAAGGTTTTAACTTGGATTTTAAGCAAAAAAAAAAACTCTGATTTTTATTAAATAAATTCGATAAATTCTTTAAAATAAAACGGGGCATTACATGGCCATGCAACAAGACAAAAGCTACTCAAGCATCAAGAGAAGATAAAAACAATTAAAACCCCTCAAAACCCTAATGCAGAATGTATGGTGGAGATGCAATCTTATCTTGTAGAGTGTAGGGCTTAGCCATTGGATATATATACTCCCTAATAGGGATGAGCAGCTACTGTACGAGGAAATCACCATTTCATTAGAAAACAGATCTGTGTAAATATCAATGTGATAGTAACTTTATCTTGTGAAAATGAAAAGAAGTTTGAATGCATTTATGCTATTTTGTTCCTCTCGATTTATTTATGGTATTATTCAGCTTTTCTTTTATGGTATCAGAGCCTAGGCTCTGATCCATATCCATTTCTTCCTTTTCTGTATCTGGCCTAACAGCCTTTATCATGGCTACATCTGCACATCAACCCGAACCTGTCATTCAGCTTCAGAACCAGCTCATCTCCATCAAACTTAATGAGAACAACTTTCTCGTTTGGAAACAACAGATCCTTGTCACCATCAGAGGACATGATCTCCTTGGCTACTTGACAGGAGACACACCAATCCCTGATAAACTCATGACAGATCCAACAAGTGGAGAGCTTGCTGTCAACAAGGCTTATCTGAGTTGGGTCAAGCAGGACCAACTTATTGCTTCATGGCTCTTATCTTCACTCTCAGAGAGTATCCTTATCACAACAGTTGGGTACAATACCTCAAAGGAGATATGTGAGTGTCTGAAGAAAAGTTTCTCTAGCCATA